AAAAGTATAAATTCAGTTTAATTGATAAATTTTATACTATAAGTTTGGCATAATTGAAAAAAGATAAAAAGTCAAAAAGTCACTATCCTAGTCACATCATCTTATTTAAGTCACATCACCTCTCTAACACATCACTTCAAACCCAACCCAAACTCAACCCATATTTCATAAAAAGTCAAAAAATATACTTATTTAATCTTCCCAAACTAGGCCTTAATCTAAATGGGTGTTTTGTCAACACACTCTAATAAACGACCTTATTCAATTACGTTTAGTTGCCACTTTTGTCATGTGGTTGATGATAGAGAAGTTAAGTTATGATCATCAATTATCTGATAGGAACTAAGCAAATTAAAATATTAGCGAGAAAAGTCTTTGCTTTTCTTGAAGATCCTTTCTTGGAAATTTACAAACCAGGAATGAAAGGGGCTCAAAGTGCAACTGTAATATATCACAAGGGTTCAAATGGCTCAATGAAATAGTTGTTGTTTGGTTAGGAGGTTTTACAAATTGGCAGGTTTACCTTGTTGACCAGAATGGATTTGTATGCATTAGGGGCAAGTGGGGGCCAGCTATTGTTTAAAAAATTAAATTTAAAAAAAAAAAAGAAAAAGTGTGAGTATCTCCCCTCATTGTGGATCGAAAGATCAAGACATGAATTATTATGTCAGTTGTTTTAATGTATTTTTAATTATGAGATTATGTTTTGAGATTTTTATATTTTAAAATTCTCATTATATTTTAGAATAGAAAGTGTATTGGAAATAGAGGGGACAAAGATTTTGAGATTACCGTGGAATTTTAATTTCTATATATGGTTAAAAAAAATTCATTCAAAAATTGCCCCTAATGATTATCATTTTCTATCTTTAGTTTAAAATTTGGTTTTGATTTGTTCTTTCGAAATTTCCACTAGCCACATTATATTTGGTTTTTTATTCATTCAAGAATTAAGATTTAAGATTTAAGATTGTCAATTATATGAAGAAAAAAAAAATCATTCCAATCTGTCAAAAGTTATAGAATTAGTGAAATTGTAAAATGAAAAAAAAAAAAAAGAATTGTATATAATCTAAGCTCCACCCTTGTTACCATGTGACAATCTCAATTTGTACTGAAATTAAAACTTCTCTGACTATTTGGGAATTTTGTAATGCAATTTTATCTTTAATAACTGTGATTATGATTTTTCTTTTTATATAAATAAAATAAAAAGCAACAAACAAACTTTTAGGACTAGTGTTCTTAGCATTGCATACACCCATTACTGAAGCACTTTTGATAGTCACAAAAATGAAATGATTTGATTATTGGGAAAATTACATGACAGTGAGTTGATTAAAAAATATCTACAAAAAGAGGTGGGGGCAATTTTTCCTTTGAATTCTTTGCACAGAAAAAGTTACACACATTATATTTGTGTAATTATTTTTCATCTTTCACCTTGATTGGTAATTCTCCCTCTATTATTCACACTTGCTACTTTTATTTTGTTGTATTTTGTTTAAGTACTTCCTTGGGCCTCTAACTTCTAAATATGATCAACAATCGATGTGGGATGCCAACATTATTGATAGAAAAAATTACGTTCATTGTTTCACCAGACCAATGTTTGAAAATAGATTTTATAGCAAGAGTCTTGACAATTCAGTTGCATGTTCGTTTCCAATCAAAGCTTTAAAAAAAAAAAAAAAAAAAAAAAAAAAAAAAAAAAAAACCTGCAACTTTTATAATTGATAAAATGTTATTTATTGCAACAAACTCTCTCTTCAATATATGACCCAAAAAAGCATCAAACTGTTTCAACTCAATCTGAGTTAAGACGTGGAACAACATAACCAAACCTTTAGTACATACATACACTGAAAAAAACAGAGGACGAGAACAAGGACACAAAAAACAGAGGCTTCTAAACATAGCCATATCAGATGTGGCACACTTCATAGACCAGACACAGAAATGAACACAAAATTCACGAAAATGGACAAAATTTTACAAGATTTGTTGATTGAGACAACTTCTGAAAAATCTTGTCCATTCATATACGTTATGTGTTCATAAACTTATTGGGTCCAAAAACACCGGCCACTTCTTACTGGTACAGGGGAAGTAAGCCTCCCCTGTGCGCATTGGCTGGTGTTACGAACCAAAGCCGCCTGTTGATCGATGCTCGTCTCATATGCATTTCTTGCAGAAACCTGCTTATCACTCTCTGATGAAGCCAGCTCCACAGCATATGAAGTTGGCAATGCACAAACATGAGCTGGCTTGCTAAAAACAGTGTGTAGAGCAAATACAAAACCACTCTGATTGAGTCTGGGCAAAGAATCGAAGCCAAAGAAACCAAACAGAGAGAACCAAACAACCCCATGACACGGCTAATGACAAGACCATAATCTGGCATAGCATGATCACTTGAAGAAAATCTCAGCTCAACATCGTATGCGACGCAATACACAATCAAACTAGTGATGGAAACAAGCATAGTCGTGGGATGTGTTTCAAATGGAGAAACAACAAGTGCTTGATACTGCAATTGCAGAAAGTTGAGGAGCATCGAAGCAAGAAAGGAGAAAATGGCATGGAGGTGGTGATTGGGCGGCGTAAGCTGTTGTTGCAAGATGTAGCTTCTTGACCTGACAAATGCGACATTGATCCCTCCAGAGAAGCTCCTTCCCATGTTTGCTCTTTCATAGGAAGCCATTATTGGATTAATGTCAATTTGTCTGAACAAGAAAAGACAGAGATGAGTTAATATAGAAGAAGAAGAAGAAGAAATTAAATCTGCATTGACAAAGCAGAGAGAGGGGAGAGAAGAATGAATTACCAGTATTTTTACGTGGAAAAATTTGATTCTGCTCTGTCAGAATTAGCTTGCTTTTATAAGGGGAAAGGCTTGAATTTTTTATTTATCAGGTTTGTCACTTTGAAAGTGACATGGAACATCACATATGAGATTTTAAAAGGTTTAGAGATGGTTCAGAAAGGCCATAGTCATGAGTTGGGAGCGGCTCAGAGGGTTTGACTGATGACTCTAGTATATGGTACATACAATTGTCATAAAAAATAATAATAGTAATAAAATGCTAGGATTCTAAGAAGTTTCAAACCCTCTATAATTTTTCTTTGTTTTTTCTTTTTTCTTTTTGGATGGGGGACCAACCCAAAACTTGCACAGTTAAATATTCTAGAAACATTAGGTACTCATAATTTATATCTAGAATTTTATCAAGAAATATGAATGTGTGATCTAAATTTAATCTATACATAAATCCCACAATATACCATTTAAATCTCAACTCTTAATTTATATTTTGGATCATTTCCTAATCTAGAATTCTGAGTTATTAGACTTTTCCTAAATATCCAATTACTTGCAAAGAGAATAAAATTTGTCACATGATGAATATACTAGTTTTCACTACCAGTTTTCATCCTATGTTGATCTACACAAAAAACTCATATGTATAGGCAAAAATCAATTATAAAAAAAAAAAAAAAACCAATTATATAGTACGTTATTTTTTTATGCCACATCGAATACGTTTCTTATTTTTGTGCCAAGGGAGCGCAAGATAAGGATACTCTAATTGTTTTTCCGCGACAATGTTATTTTTCTTTTTACAATAATCAGACATGTAAAGTATATAATTTAATAATTTGGGTTTAAAAATTAAATAAAGTGACATTTAATATGTGATTTTATTTTAAATTTAAACTTAAATCATTAGACTATCACAACAAATCATTACAAGAAAATTATGATGGAGGATATGATCCGGAGAGGGAAATACTCATGCTCCCAGCTTGATTTCTTTCCAATTATTGAAAAAAAAATGACCAATAATACTCGGGATATAAATTAAACACAATCACAGAAAGTGACATGAAGACCCATGACATAAGGCCCCACACCAGAATTGATGAAAATTTCTGAAATGGTAAGAATGCGTGCGCATGAAGAAGCTTCAATTACTCTGCTTAATGGACTTGGAACATGGTTCAAAAGGTTAAAAAGAGACTAAAATAAAGAGTTGCTCTGGTTTGTTGTCCTCCAAGGAAAACTTGAGGTTGACAAAGGGGACATATACCAAAACTTTTGAGAATTGTTTGAATATATAAAAAGCTTTGAGATTGTGTTTTGTATTAATTTATATTTGAAAAGAACAGAATTGGATTTCACCATCAAGCAAATATGTCTTCAATTTATGTTGGATAAGTTACATTTTAGATGTTTAACATATAAGGAAAATGTTAGAGGTCCCAAATTTTCTATCAAATAAGTGACCAAATGTCTCACATGGGTGTGGGGCCCACAAAATTGCGGACCCCACACCCATGTGAAACATTTTGTCATTTGTTTGGTAAAAAATTTGGTATCCCTAGCATTACCCAATATATAAACCTCTAGGATAGATAAGTGGTTTTCGGTTTTTTTGCTAAGCAAAATATGCCATATTCCATTTCTCAATTTTTCTTGAAACTAATTTAAAAATTTATGTCAAATATTGATGTACTATTATTGTTTTATTAATATAATATTTTCCAATTTCGAAATATATATATATATATATATATTCTCTAAATTTGACTACAATTAGCGACTACGAAAAAATAAAATAAAAAAACATAACCTTCCTTGTTGGTGCTCCAGCCTTTCCCGCTACCATCTTCTATGAATACCCCCATCACTTAAATGTTAATACAAGTCACTTGTCAATGGAGTTTATTTTAAAAGTGATTCTTTTACTAATAATTTTTTAGTTAAAATATAAATTGAAAAAATTTAAATATTTAAAAATAAATTATTATCTTTTTTTAAAAAAAATATGCAAAACGTAAAGAAAATATAAAAAGTTATTTGAATTTTTTTGTATAACTTAGCCTTTGCCAAAGGTAAGCCAAAATTTAGCTAGGGCAAAATCCCAAGCTTGATTAAAAAAATTATAAATACATCTCTTGCAATTTTATAAATTCTTCCATCTACTATCAGAATTTGACATGTAACAGTGTCAATATTAAAGATTAAATTCCTTGATAACTTGTAACAGTGTCAATATTAAAGATAACTTTGCTACCCCTCATCTTTTTCATCCTTACTCTCTTCTTTTTTTCCTTCCCTTTTTTCTTCATTTTTTATTTTTATTTTTATTCCTCACTGGAACCAACACAATGGGCACGGCTGCCCCCCAATCACCCTTCCCCCTTGAAAAACACCATCACCTCCACCAACTTCACAAACAAGCAAAAACTGTAACAAATATTTTGGCATAGATTTCTAAAAACTACTTATTAAAAAATAAAAAATAAAAAATATAAATAGCTCCCTAAGTTTGCACCAAACAAGCCATTAAACCGGGTAAATATATAATACGATGCAGCCTCAACCAGGAAAAAACTGAGAGCAGGACATCACACCAAATAGTTGAGCCTCCACAGTTCCACTGCTTTCCTGTCTGTTAGTCTCCTGTTTCTGATCCAACCAAAGTATCATGGAAGGCCATGTCCCTTTTTGTTAAGATTACAAGATGTACAAGTAGTCATCATCTTCTGGCTAATCTGCTTCTTCTTAATCCCCTCATAGGTGTTGTATAAGAAGCCGGTCCTGTGAGCCTATCTGGGCTCTGCAGTTCTTCGTCTTCACCGCTGTCATCAGACCTCCATCTTGGTCTGCCATTTACATTTCCATACCCAAAAGTACCTTTCTCTCCATGGCTAAAACGAATAAGTACAACATACAAATTGAAATTTAAGTTACTAGTAACAGAACAATACCAAACTCCCATTTGTAGGCATTAAACTGCATAACCAGACAATGAAAAATAAAAATCACTATGAAAGGTTGGGAAGAAGAGAAGCAGAAAGGTTTTACCTCCAAGAGATATCCATTGGATCATCTGACGGGACCACCTTCCAAAGTCTGTGAGGTCCATCTGATGGAGCCTGTTTACCAGACGTGTTTAGGTAAGGATCTCTAGCTGGTTCTTTTGTTAAGAAACCATTGCTGCTGGGTGAAATTACTGGATCAGCTCCAACCCTGAGGGAATATGGCCTGGAATTTTGAAGTCTGTGAGTGACCCCATTTCCTTCCATCTGTGGAGAAACTTGATCAAATCGATAATCTTGGAAGCTGCTATCCTGAGGCACTCTTGATGAACTTTTGTTGAACTCTTTGAATGGGGTTGCAATGATTGGACGAACACGATGAATACCAGGAGTCCTAATGTCTTCGAATTTGAACATCTTGCTGACACCACTTTGAGGCTTTGGGACTCTTTCCGCATTGTTAGAGAAACTACCTTGCAGAATGGAGGGAGAGCCATGGTTCCCAATTTCAAATTTTGAACTATTAGCATATCCACCTAGTTTTGATGGAGTATCGAGAACTGAAGGTTTTGAGGAAGTGACTGTTTTGTCCATCCGAAGAACATGGAAAGAATCAATGGAGGTGGGAACCAATAAACTTGTCAAATTTGGTTCTTGTACCTTAGCAAGATCACACCTTGCAGGAGTTTCCAGATCATTAATGGTAGAAACAGCAATCTCAAGCAATTTTCCCAACTTCACTTCTTCTTGCTGAAATTCTGGCAGCAACTCTATGCTCTTTTCCTGTTAAAAGCACGTCAGTATAAGCATCCCACTTTTTCTTTTGCCACTCCAAAATAGTATTTGTTATTATAAATGTTAAGCAGCACTAAGAGGCATAATGTATATTTTCTTCTCTCTTAAATAGTTCATCTCTGCACTTTTTGAGTCAGTTCATCAGAAGGTAATGATTTTGTTGGCGTACAGTTGGAGGAGTAATGGGGCTGCAAGAAACACATTGCATAGAATAGCCTTCCAACCAAAAAAAAAAGAAGATACCAACAAATACAAAACTCTATTAGAAAAGCCCGTTTCATAAAAGCACCCTCCATTGCCAGACAGTTACCACCCACCTCAATACATTGTGTATTGGAGAGAAGAGAACCTAGCAAAAGATGTATTTAGTTTGTTACATGGGGATATACCTAGTTGATTTTTAGCTTAAATGGGCCACTTCATACTTTAATTTTCACATATTTAGATACAAAAAACCTTACTCATAAAGAGAAAGCATACAAAGTTAAAGTTCATCAAACATGCAAATCTTGTTTATGACCTTTGAATCCTGCACGAGGTGATTTCACTCAACCAACTCATAAATTTTTTTTGGGGGGGGGGGCTAAGTTGAAATATGAGTGGAAGGGTGAAAGTTGACATGGAGAGTCGAACTTAGAATACAAATCAATCATGCAGTCTCCAAACAGACTACAGAGTGTAGATTGTTTCTATTTCCGACAGATATCAAGGTTGAGTAGCATGCTGCTCTTCATGAGCCATTTGAAGCTAAGGCAAAATATGAATTTCATAAAATGAATTTTCAAAAAGAAAAGCATCAGCAATTTAAAATACTTACAACCAATCCTGCTCTCCAGTGACTTGCTGATCTCATTCTAGATATGACTATTTCACTAACAGAATTCTTTGATATAAAGTCTTGCTCCACACTCTGAAGTTTACGATCAACTTGGTATGCCTCAACAAATCGGTAGCGCTAAAATCGTTAGAACAAAAAAAACCAAAAACAAAACAAAAAAGACAAGTTACTGAACTAAGTTGTAGGCATACCGGTCATGGAATTTTGTTCAAATGACAAAGTTTATAAAAAAAAATTAATCTGACACATACTAAACATAATATATCACATTGTGTCAAGAAATCAATGTAGAACACAAGCATAAGACCCTTTACAAGGACCTACCACATGAAGATATGTCTAACATTAGACAGCAGGATATTTACTGGACACCTCAACATTGACACCAATAGATAGGAAAAAATAACCAAGTGTTTTGTTTTTCTCCATGGAGCATTATCCACACTATTTTGGGATGAAACACAAATCATGCTTTATCATACAAGCCTTCCAAAATCCAAACCATTCATCTTCAGCTCACTCTAAGGCTGAGTACAAGCACAAAAGTTCATTCTCCTCAATTTCGCCATTGGTGTTCTTTGCTCATCTCCAAGTTCTCAATTAACCCTAGCTTCTTTCTACTGCAGACCTGGTTACTCCTATCCATACATCTTAATCCTGCTTACACATTTTTTGCTTGTGCTACAGCATTGCCTATAAAAGACAATATTCTAGTTGGTTGTCATGTTAGTTAACCATGTTATTAGATACTGAAGTTGGTAACACAACTTCAAAGTCATACAAATCATAAAGAGGAAATAACAATGTTTTCGACTTTGAACAAATTTAGAAGTTACCTGCAGATAGAAAACCACGAGAAGACTTCCAATTGTTGTTGAGGGGTCATCAACAGCAAAATCCAAGAGGCACTTGTGGAGATATTTCTCTTCAACTGAATTCCAAGGGAATTCTAACATTTGGTCAACCAAGTTTCTCCAGATACAAAGAAAACAAATTTCAGTCACCAGTGCCTCCACCCAGTCCACCCAAGTCCTGCACTCACCTTTTAAGTCATCTGAGGAGCGCTGAGATGATCCATACTTCAACTTCTTTTCCTTAACCTTCATACAGAGCATTCTCTGGTACATAAATGCTTCGGTCAAAAGTCCACACTCCACTCTCACTCGAACTGCAGTGACAGCCTCACCAAGTGAAACCACCCGTGCTCCACCATCACGCCCACACCACCTTAGAACCATAAGAGCGGCATCGGGATTTTTCCTTTCTAACAGAACTTGTGCAACCTTAGGATGAGCTGTTGGGCCTGAGATTTCTGGAAGAAGGCGACAAGCTTCCTATGTGACAAAACATGTGAAGAACCATAAGCATACACAACGTTGTCAAAACTCGAGCATAATTTGGATAACTCTGCCAGGATCAAAAGGCAGTCTACCTGGTTACCACCAGCATGATATCAAGGACTAGTCAGGTTATAATAGCCATATGGCATCTCAGTCTAGATACAGAAATGACACATGAATTTGGTCTAAATATATCCATCCATACCATCATTCCCGACCACAATTTGGAGATATTGAAGCATCAATCCAGGTAGTATGCTATAGGCAAGAAATATCACATGGTGAGAAACATTTGAATGTAAAGATTGGACAACGAACAAGCTTTCCTACCAAGGAAAAGAAGAAATGCCCCGTAAACGACGTTCAAAACGTAGAGTAACATTTATATTACAAAACCCTATTGCAACACGAGATAAAATATTCTAACAGAGTTCTCAAATCCATAAGCCTTGTCAACAACCCCTCTGCAGACATGGTTCATTCCAGCCCTAAAATATCCCAAACTAAAACAAAGCTGGGGTAAAATTTACCTACATTATGTCCTCGCGATCCTATCAAATATGCTTCCCCTCACCAATAAAGATAATGAAAGCTCAACAGATTTGACATCTACGATAGATGAGCACTCACTAGGGAAAATTAGGAAGATTTAGTAAACAAATAGAGAACACAAATATTGCTATTTCAGCCACATAACTTCATGTAAAAATAAGGCCTACCACAAAAATATTTCATTTGTAAGAGGGGCCATGACTCTGAAAAGACAGATAACATATCCTTGCCAAGGAGAAATATGATTATAAAAACCAACTTCAAATATTTCAGGTAAACTTTGATGTTAGCCAGATTAATCAACCTTCTTGTTTCTGCTTCAACATGTTATTTGTGAGCATTAATTCCAATGTACGATTAATTGGCCACATTTAAGTCATCAAGGACTTGTTTAAAACTACAAAACAGATAATAGTGCAAGAAACACTCACCACTACACCTATATTCCAACCTTCTCTGTGTACTAAAGCATTTTGCTACTACTATAATAATATTTCAAATTAAGAGAAGTATAAAACATAAGTAAACAGAATAAAGTTTTTTTTTTATTGGCACTAGAGTGTCCGGCTCAAAGCCTGACTAATCCTTAGGGTTGCACAAGCCCTCGGCAAGGAGTTTTCCGCAAGTGTACCATGGTTAACTCAAGGGTTTTCCCCCAATCCAATGGCCCCAAGGAATTGTTATTACCTAAAAGGTTTTGATCCTTGTATATTGGAGGGATCACACCTCCAAGACCTAAGGCCTTGCCACCAGGCCAACCACTTGGGGTTAAATAAACAGAATAAATTTTGAGAAAAGATCCTAAGATTGATAGGCTTAAAAGTATACCTAGTCAGCAGAAAGCAAAAGCCTGCGTTCATACCCAACAAAGGTCTAAAGAAAATATGATAAGTTACCTGCAGAGCGTCATCAGTATGGTCATCCAGAAGATAAAAGGTAAAAGACTCCAGTAAGGAATGCCTCGTAATATTAAATGTAGCTGCAAAGTCATCTATAATGTGTCTCCATTCCTCTTCTGGCCTTGTCCAGTGCCGATCGAACAGGTAATAGAGAAACTGAGATAAAATTAAGGAAAAAGAAGAAAAGACTATACTAATAACTGTAAATATGTCCTATCAGCAGAAGCAGCAAAACAATACAATGGGAAAGGATACTATTGCTTGTTTTGCAATCACCAAATCAGAACTCCCATGCAAAAAGAGTATGTCAGCAGCAGCTCGCAGATTTTCAAATGGGTAGCACCCCGCCATCCCCTCTATCTTAGACCTGAAAAACAATGAGCTTCCAGCCTTCTGCAAAGATGCAATTTCTAATTCCTCTCCTATTTCATGTGTATATCCCTGTTCTATCTCAATATTCAACAGTGCATCTTCAATAAAGAGTGTGGAACCATTTGTTCTAGCAGATTCTGCAGAGTGATTTACTGAATCAGGCCATGAACGCTTAATTGCAGCTGATTTCCTTTCACGGATAGAAGAACGCCATGATGTAAAATTCGTATATTGAGACCCAACATTCTCAAGAAAGTGATGCCTTATGGACCATATCATGATCTCCATATGCTGGAAACCCAAAACAATGTCAGATAATAGATTAACAATGATCTAACCAAATCAAAGCATTGTTCTTGTGTAGAACTTTAAACCTGAAAACCTCTGAACAATAACCAAACTAAGCAGCGAAAGAAGATCCTAATAAAAACCATTGCCAACCAATACAAACAAACTAAACATGCAGAGGCAAGCATGTGCACACACATCAATGAAACAAGGTAGTAACCCTGTCAATGAAAATATCAAGAGAACTCAATAAACCCAAGCAGGAAACAACTTTATTAGCTTAAACTCCAAATATCATTGGTCTTATAGTTTCATGCATATCTGACTACTATTACATGACATTACATTCTTTTTACGGTTACCTAACAAAGTAATGAAGATATTTAAACACATTTAAACATCTTAGCATATAGAAAGTAGATATTTAAATAACCAAGAATTTTAGCAATCATACTTGCTTTGTCTTTAATATGCTTTCGTGAAGGTGGTAAAGATCATGAATCTGTGCTGAAAGAGTACCCTTAAAAGACGAATCCAAAACTTCCAGAAGATTGGATATGCCAGACAGCTTAACTGAAAACTTGAGAAGTGAGCTTAAACTCATTTTCATGTTTTCTACTGAGAGATCATCTATTAGATGCGTTAAGGACTACAACCCAAATTATGGTAAAGGGACAAAATTATATAAATAAATAAAGGCAACTGGCTTCACATACAAAATGTTTAGTATGTCCAAGGATACATAATCCTTGAAGTTCTGTAAGAATATTTTTGAATCTCCGCTTGCACCAATCCTTGGCAACCACTTCATCCAACAAGAAAGCAATGACAGGATCACTAGACACAGCACTTTCATCCAGACAAACATCTGTAACATCTGTTGGTCCTTCTGTTAAAGAAAACTGAAATCTCAATATAAAGAAAATGTAATAACAAATGCAAAGAGAGATAATCTGAAATTATCCCTCTTTCTGTTCATATTTCAATACACCCATATTCCTTCCATATTAGCAAAATATTTGTTTTTGGTAATACTTTTCCTTGCTGGAAAATGCCCATGGCATTATGGGTGTGAGATCATTTTAAACAAGAAAAGGCAATACACGCCACCATTTAATTTATCAAAAAAAAAATTAATAAAGAAACCATGTATGGATACAGTGGCAAATCAGAGAAACCAAGTTGTTTTCTATGGCAACATCAAAAAAAGAATAAAGCCGTTCAATATCAGCAGCTATCTGCTTCTCCCCATATTCTTTTTCTTGTAATCTGTCATCACATTTTTTGGAGATAAGACCAGCCTCTATGCACTCATAGTAAAGGCGAAGGCGAAGTACATTGCCATTCTTTGGTATTGGAATTCTACAAATTGGGCAACTATCACACCGCTGACAACACTCTGTACACAAGGAGGCATGTCCACATGAGTTCAATACACTTTCTACATAGCGTCCACAGCTTCTCAAGTCTCTAGTTGCCCGACAACACTCAACTTTTGCTTCATTGCACAATTCAATTAGATCAATAGAAGTGTTCCAATGCTTCCTGAAATTGAAACAAGGAGCAGAAAATGATTCACAATACAATGGGCAAGTGCTCAACAATCTAAATAACAGAGTCTGTATCTTGTAAGAACATGAAATATAAAGAAAGTGGATCGTCCTATGCAATTTCTCAACTTAGAATGTACCTAAAGAAGGTGACCTTTAACTGACCATTGATCTGATCAAAGAAAATAATCCAAAATTCCAGTCAATGCACAATGTCAAAAAAAAATTCACACAAAAGCCTGATCAATAACTACTGGCAATTAAGTCTCTTCAACATATACTCAATTTCACTTTTCAGGCCTCATAATAAAGTTATTTTGATCTTTATACCCTGAATTCTACTCAAACCAATCACACATTCAATGGCCGGAGCTCACAGAGATAGCTCAACCACTAGACCACATAATCAGACACCTAAGGCCAATCAAGAAAATCTCAACAAATTCTTACCACCGAAGCCCCCGAGTTTTCAAAAGCCTAGTGAGATAAGGCCCCATTTTGATGTTTGGCCTAAAGCCTTCAAAAATCTTGAGCCACTAAGCTCATAAGGGGTGAGTGGTTTCGAATATTTTCTATTTTATATATAATTTTTTAAAATGATTCGATAAATATACTGTTTGTAAATATTTATTGCAGGATTCACAACAAAATCACTTCAATACTCAAATTCTGCACAAAATGAATTCAAATTTCCAGAAACAAATTTACTTAAATTACATTGTTAAACCTAATAAAAACAACAGAGTCTATACACTTACATACAAGTTAGATATGACAACTTGAAGCATGAATATAAATATATATACACACACAGATTACATATATGTATGCAAACCTGAACACGAGGGGCGTTGTAGTTTGGTTGCCGAGGCGGAGGAGAAGCCCTTACAGCGGCGCCGTTGGGGGCTGAACCAGAAAGAGCCGCCGCTGCGTCGGATCTCCTTCCCGTATCTGAGGGAGAGTGAGAAAGTGTGTTCCACTGGCCAGAACGATATCGAAGCCCTAATGAGAAATGGAGATTAGAGCTCATTGAAGGACACCACCGTTTGCTGATTGCTCACACTCCCAAGGATTGGAGTTCGGATGCCTGAAATTGAGAGAGAGAGAGAGGCTGTGTTTGCAGAGGGTTTGAAAGACGAGCTTCATGGGTCGGCAAAAATTGAACCCGTTTTTTTTATTATTGTTATTTCGGTTCGTTGGTGATGTACAAAATAAAAAAAATGTATAAATTACACCTTATCCCTTTTTGTGGGTTTTTTTTTTCTATTTTTTTTTATTTTTATGTTTGATCCTTTTTTCACTTTGTGCTTTAATGTTTATTTTTTTTTTATTTTGACTTTTCATATTTTAAAATTAAACAAAAAATAATATATTAATAGTCACATAGTATAAAAATATTTTGTTATATATGATTCATACCTCTAACACAAACTCAAATGTTAATATTATAATATTTTTTTTTTATCATGTGACAGTTATCGTGATATTTTTTATCTAATTATAAAAATTGAAACATGAAGTGATAAAGTAAGAAAAATTAAACTTTAATGCTGTGTTTGGTTGAGAGATTTAGGAAAGAATTTGAAAAGGAAAAATGAAAAGATATATGAAAGGGTCATGATTGAGATCCCCTCTAATCACCACCCCCACCACCCCATACACACGTGGCGGGTGATGATTGGAGGAGAAGGGAAAAAAAAAGAAAAAGAAAAACTGGCCAATTATATTAAGAGGGAGATTAAAGGGGGTGAGAGGGAAAGGGGGTCCGGAACATTATTGTATATGAAATTAGGTGAAATTTAAGTATATTTTATTCATATTTATTTTTCTTTCTAAATCTTTTCTCAAATCCTCCAATCAAACACAATATTAGAGTCAAAATGAGAAAGTGGCCAAACATAAATAGGACAAAATGCAATTTACTCCAAAAAAATCTATGCAAATTACTTTCTCAAAAAAAAAAAAAACGGAGGAGCGCAGACTTGATTAACAGGATTATACGAAAAGGTTTATTTCTTTCTCGTACAATAACCATAAAGGTCTTTGGTTATGTCTTAACTAATGTTTGATTATAACCTTTGATAATGGTTTGATTATAGCTAATTGTAATTTTAGTTTTTTTTTTTTTTTTTTTTTTTTAATATTGTATTTTTAATCAAGTATTTATAAAAAATTTATTGCATATTAAAATTATGGGTCTGGCTTTGATCCAGTTCACCATCAGACTGGATCGTGCTGTTGGGCCCGTGGGGGCCACCACGGGTCCTGTTTTAAAAATCTGAACCATTCTGTGTAGAACTCTTTGAGTACTATATGCCTATGAAAAATTTATTGCATATTAAAATTATGGGTTTGGCTTTGGTCCAGTCCACCATCAGACTAGATCGTGCTCTTGGGCCCGTGGGGGCTACCACGGGTCCTGTTTTGAAAATCTGAACCGTTCAATGTGTAGAACTCTTCGAGTACTATATGCCTATGAAAAATCACGTTGATCGGATATCGATAGCTATGTGATCAAATCAGGTTTGTATAAAAAAAATGGACAATGAATAAATTAACGGTTGACAAAAAACTAATTTGATCACATTGCTATCGATATCCGATCAACATGATTTTTTATAGGCATATAGTACTCGAAGAATTTTACACATTCAACGGTTCAGATTTTCAAAACGGGACCCGTGGTGAGCCCCCACGGGCCCAACAACATGGTCCAGTCCGATGGTAGACTGGACCATAGCCAGACCCTAAAATTATTTACCACAATACATTCAATCTGTAATTTTATTTTAAACTTGAAGTTACCAGTTGAAGTCACAATTTGAATTAAAATCACAACTTCAAATTATAATTTTATTATAATAAATTGACCAAACACAACTTAGACCATTTTTACTTTTATTTTAATTTTGTTGAACCACTTTGTTAACATGAGGAAGTGAAAATGGAAATTTTCATGCTCAGGTAGAATCACAATTTCAATTTCTAATTTTAGCGTCAATATAAATATTTGGGAGGAACTTAGGGTGTATTTGTTTGGACAGATTGAATAAAGGATGATTGAAATCCATCGGACTGCTAGTTCTGGGATACATTGTCCCCGGACTATTTAGTTGAATTGGATTTGTATCTCATGTTTGTTTAGTCATGAGATTAGATGTCAGGAAAGAACTATTTGTTGAACAAGATGTGAATCCTATGTTTGTTTGGGATATTATTAAGAATGATAAATGCTCAAATGACTATTTTACCCTTTTCAATTATTTACTAAGTAATATTTTAATTTTTTAGCTAGATTAAATAAAAATTTATTTTATTTTATTTTTTACACAATTAAATAAATTTATTTTTTTTAATTAAATAAATAAAATATCAATAAAAATATATGTCATTTTTTTAATTAAAATTTTAAATAAATTTATTTTAAAAAATAATAATAATTAAATAATGAAATTAAATAAAACAACTATTAAAATTTAAATAATGAAATTAAATAGAATATAAACAAAATTTTAAAATAAAATATCAATAAAATATCTATAAAAAATTATTTTAAAAAATTAAATAAATAAACGATCAATAAAAATTAAATAAAATTATTTTATTTTTAAATTGAGACATTTAAATTTTATTAAATTTTACTAAATATAACCCATAATTAAATAGTAGAGGGTCAAAATGGTCATTTCACCGCCTAATCCCATATCTCCCATTATCCCTTCATTTGTGTTCCACCCCTCACGCGACACAATATGGGACACAATAGTCCAATGGATTTGGGACTATTAGTTCAGTGCTAAAATTTTGAATCAAATAACGGACTATTAGTCTACATGAACTAGTCTAATCCTACCTTTCAATCCCACAAAACAAATACCACCTTAGTATATAAACTGAACATTTTTTTTTCCAGCTATTCAATCTGTGATTTTTATTTGGCCACACTAGCAACATTTGCTCTGACTCCAGTTGATCTCTATAGCTAGACTAATGATTTTATTAGAATGGATATCCATGTCGATTAGTTGGAATTGTGAACTCAATTTTCCGATGGTATGAAGATTTTGAGTTTAAACTTGTCATATATTTGTGCTTATTTGTTGTTAAATTTTTTTACATAATAATTGAATATTCAATTTGATGTGATTGTTATCATTTTAAAAAATAAATTCAAAGTATATCCTGTACATTAATCTATTTGAAGCAAATGCATGAACATATTATTCATAATTAAAGTTGGTTTATTAGATTAAGAGAGGCATGAAAGTGACATTACAACCCATGGAAGATAAAGGTCAATGGCAGGCCAAGAATACGCTGGTCTTTTGTGGAAGAAAGAATGATGTGATCCTTTTTCATTAGCTATCTACTTATTATTATTATTATTAGGAACTGATACGGGAAAAATAAATAAATTAAAAAGCCATTATTACCGTTTGGAAAAATAAAAATAACCAATTGACCTTTTGGCAAATGTGACTACTTTGTATTTATCCAGAATTTCTCTACATTTGTTGGGATTCTTGAATTCATTGTATGTTCATGATTAGATTTTTATTTCATAGTTAAATGTTCACCTTGATATAGTTTTTCATTTTATGTATTTATAATTTATCTCTGAAATAAAAAAATAATAAATCACAAGCAATTGGTGACAGCTCACCTCTGGCAAGAAATTACTTAGTAGTCTTATAACAATGTTCCACATTATTAATGTTGTAATACTTATCCCGTTATCTACAAAAACAAACATAAAAATGCAACTCACCGTTTAAATTAATAAAAATCAAGTTGGCAATAATTATCACTAATAATTTTTGATAATGCATTTTTAATCCCTCTTATAGGATGAACTTGAATTAGTTGAGTTGAGTTGAGTTAGCAATCCAATAAGCTCCACATAAAGCTTGTTTGATTGTAACAATTAGATTCACAATCCAATCTTATTTTACAAAAACAGAACCATGTTTTATGTAGTGAAGACTTTTATGTAAACATAATTAAATATAATTATGGGGAAATAACATTATAGTGTTTATGAAAAAAAAATAATATTTTAATTATTAAAGTGTTTAAACTTTAACACTGATTTGTAATTTTTTTTCTGCTGTGATGTTATTTTCCCTCAAATTAATCTTACATCTAATTTAATTCAAATTTTAAATGGAGAACGAAACAACCAATAGGAGAGTGGTGTCGGCCATCATTGGGAGAGGAATGAGTAGATTCTCATACCATCCCGCGCCATCAATCCAAAAGATAACATGATAAAATAAATGACTAAAGAACGAAAATATAATCAATGAGTTATTTATTATATTTCCAAATTTTTTGAACTTATTCTTTCAAATTCAAATAATTTTCAACTTTTTCAAACTCATTATATTCAAATCGCGTGTTTTTTTTTATTTAAAAAAAAAAAAAAAACTTTGAAAGATGTTTTCAAAACACGGCTACAAAAGTTTTTAGTAAAATCATGTTTTCAAAACAAAACTTCACAAAAAAATATGAATTTATTAAATAAGTTCAAAATAAATAATATAGATTTGAGAAATATAAGTTGTGTTTTGGTTCATGAGTTTGGAGAGAGATTTGAAAAGAAAATAAAAAAAAAATTATGTGAAACAAAATAAAAAGTAAATATATCTTATTCACATTTGACCAACCTTTTTAAATCTCTTCTCAAATCTATAAATCAAACACAGTCTATGTACCAAAAGCCGTTTTTGCTTGCTAGTAATAGTATGCATGACGGAGTCAACTTTTTTTTTTTTTAGAGCCAAAACATTTTCCTACAAGCCAAACAAATAACAAGCAAGCAAAATATCTGGAGCAAATTCAATCAGCTCACTAAACAAATACATGAAAAGCCTTCAATGTCACAAGGATGGTTTTGTGATAGTGTTGTACTGGTCCTCTCAAGCAACCTATATACTAAAAGTAGTCAAAAAACAGGGAAAAAGAATGCAGTGCACAAGAAATTCACCTAAATTATGGAAAACTAACAAATTTAAGACGCAACATGAATATCAATAACCTCTTGGTGAAGACATTGTACCATTTAGAACTTCATATGTGTACGTCATACAGCTTCACCACTTCTTTTTATCCTTGTATGAGGTGTGGAAAGGCCAATTTCAATGCCAACCGTTGTACTGCATGCACATTGCAGAAAGTGTTTGAGCATCATGGTTTCCTGCACTAGTAAGCAAGAGATAAAGATACAACGGCAGAGGTTGGCATCCTAATGGCGTCCAGTCTAAACTAACGTCATATAGAGCAATATAATGGGATGACCATTGCACCATTTTTCTCAGAATGCTTTCACGAGTCCAAAATACAAGTTCACCAGAAGCCTCCAAGACCGTGATATTTAAATTTGCACGTCCAAAAAACTATTAAAAAAAATTGGGTAAAATGAATTAGAGGGAACTGAAGCGATGGTCAATTTATTCATAATAGTGCAAGTAAAATTTTTTACCTTGACATCAAAATGGTTTCTCCTTCAGTACAGAATCTGGCTTCCATGTTTCTAAAAGCCTCACTGAGAGCATTCGATTGAGGCTATAAGCACAACAGGGAGCATTTACATACTGTAGAAAGTGCGGCAAAGCCTTAGATTTCTGATCTACTGCCCGATGCAAATACATGAAATTCTTGTCAAAAAGTAAGAAACTTAAAGAAAAATATGAAAATGGGTAAAAGAATAGAGTACAATCATAATTCTTAATAGTTTCAGTTAGATTTAAACATTAAAATGCTATAAATAAGAGTAACATCAAAATGCTATCTATTTCTCTTGGAACTTGTCAAATCTATGTTTGATGTGCTTTGATTTCTTGAGCATAATCCCTTAGCTGTTTAGTTCCACACTTTAAACAAAGAAAAAAGGTAAATAATAAAGGTCTTAGAGAAAGCATTCCTTTTATGCAACTGTTATAATACTTTGGCCAAAAGGCCAATACCATGCTTTATAACTCCAAAAAAAAAAAGGACAAACCCAAAGAATAAAGGAGACTGGAAACTTACCAAAAAAACAGAGAAATGAGCATTATATAAATAATCTAAAATCATTAGGTTCTAGAAATTACCCAAAAAATGAGCTTCAACCTCTTGAATTTTCCTTGTGTAATACATGCTATTGAGTATCTTTGTTGGCACTTCTCTCTTTTCAATAGAATATATCCACATTGCCGAGTACAAAATACTTGGAAGTGTAAGAACAGATGTGGTGCATGCACATCAAACACACACCTAGTTGGTGACTTGATCAAGTCTTGTCATCAATTCAACATGAAAGAAAACAGTGTTTTGTGTGAGTTTGTCATAAATCTCACAATCCACATTGGCACAGTATGACAGAATACCATTTGAATATGCATTTTTTTTCATTCACAAACGAGTTCATAAAACACTATTATACAAGTCTACGGAACATTCTTATCCTTCAACCTGCTATAGGGACATAATATCTGAAGCAGTAGAAGAAGTAAAGCAAACAAATTCTGCAAACAAGTCAATGCTGTTCAATGAGAAAAGGATAGCACAAAAATAAGGAAATAACTGATCCCCTTGATGACTAATGTATTGATATGAAAACACAATCAATCCTCACAGCCACAACCAAAATTTGCAGCACTAAGAAATTCTTGTCATGCAAAGAAATTTAAGCTATTTTAAACCCAATTAGGAGAGCCAAGTCAATGTCAAAGACGGTAAATTCCAGAAAGGAATTGTTATATCCCAAATAGCAATATCCCACACCTGAAGTGAACCCATAGATCTAGTCAGATAGGTCAATCACATGTTGAAAACCACAAGGCTCCATTTGGATACAAAGATTTGAAATGAATGAATTTGGTGTCACTCATTCAAGGAGTATAACATTTAATTCAATGTAATATTTTAGTTATGAGTTTCAAGAATGGATTTGAGAGTTTTAGATTAATGAATTTGAAACAAGTGAATACGGTTATTTGAAATCCTGCCATAAATGATTCTACTTGTACAAAAATATTAACAAAATGCATATTTCCAATCTCTATGCATACTTCACTTTAGAACGAATAATATATATCCATTAATCAAGCTTCTTACAATTTCATAGAATTGAACATCAAATTGCCTCCTTTCAAATTTATGTATCCAAATGGAGCCTAAGTGTCTTTAATTGAATGAATTCTCAATATTCTTTCACTCCAGAATTGTTTACAGATTTCCTGATAGCAACCTTCAAAGTGTCATTCGATAAAATAAAATCACAAAAAGTCAAGGAAAGGGCTAAAGCAATTGGCCTACCTTCAGAAGACTTGATATAATACTCTCCCGAGACATACGTCTGCTGTTGGGGCATCAGCAATGGATCATGTTAACCAGATAGGATGAAGCTCTCAGATACAGAGACAGACCACAAAAAAAGTTTTACTAAATTTTTTTTATTATGTGCCTTCTTTCATTATGATTTATATGAACTAATTGTGCAAGGAGAAAACCAACACAAATGTTATCTCCTACAATTCATCTAACAGTAACCATTTGATACACTATGAAATGAGCTGGTAGTAGAAGTATTACAGGATTATCATTTAAACATAGCGCAGGAATGAGGTAAGACACATACCAAGAGCATATTGGAAGTTTATGGAAAATATTGAAAATTATGGAAAGTTCATATTAACTGGAGAAGGATATATCCCAAGTACTTAGGATTATCGTAACTACTTTATTTTCAGTTAAGTTGACATAAACTACTTTCTTTTTTTGATGAACAATAACTGTTCACTCCAATTATCAGAAGGCCCCAATAGATATGCAGAAATAGATGACATTGCAAAAATAATAGACACTAGATTTAATGAGCTGCACATTTCCTTTTTTGATGCGCCATCCTCACTAAGAAACAATTTCACAAACTCATTTTCATTTCTGGTTTGCAAACTAATAATTATGTGCATAAGCTCTGCCCCAAAACAAAGTTAGGAAGCCTGTCGGTCAAACATTATTAATTTAGTCAACAAATTAGAACTATTCTAAACTAACAACAGACCACCCAAAATAGCACAGTCAACACCTAGCATTGAGACGAAAACAACAATACTCCCTCTATTCATCCATATTAATATCCATTACATATTAAACTACTCACAGCAATCAACCAAAATGTGCCCCTACATGATCGGCAATGGTCGGTACAAATGAAAAGTAAAGAAATTAGATATCTTTATATTTCCATAATCCCCTTTCCTCTTTACATAATTCAGTGCATTATACCTCCAATTGAGGCCTCAATGTAGCAGGAACAAGCTTTCCAATCTTCAATTGTTTGCCATCACATCTACCTCTGCAAGTTACATAGTCAAACTTTCAGTTCTCCATACCAGACAAACACACACACACACACACACACACACACAGAGCGCGATTAGATTCTCAGTCCCATCCGAGCAAAGAATAAAAGACACAAATTCCAAACCCACAAATTACATATATACATGTATTTGTGTGTATGGTTTGAGAGAGAGAGAGAGAGAGAGAGAGAGAGAAGAAACCCATACCAAAGCATCATGAACTCGGTAAGCATCAGCACTAACCCCCGCCAAATACAAGCCAGGGAAAACATTCTGCGAAGAAGCATCAAACATTAAGCAAATACCAATCAAACAAAACAATATTACAGAGGAGAAAAAAGATCAATCTCTCACATCGACATATTTTTGTACAGACTTTGGTCTCTTCTTCGGCCTCCGAGCTGGTTTCGACCCAGTCATCGCGTACACATCCTCTTCAATCTCCTCCCGAGAAAGCGCGATCCAGAACTTCCTCTTCTCCTTCTTCTCCGAGCCATGACCTTCAACAAAACCTCTCAACCTCATCGATTTCGGAAGATTCTCCGTCTGCTGCACAACCGGAATTGCAGATAAACTTTCCTGCAATTCTCCATTCTTCGAAACCCCTCCGATCTCCACCGCAGCTTTCGCAACAGCCTTTCTCGGCCTTAGATTCCACGGCTTCGCCATCGATGATTCCTCGGCCTCAACCTCATCGCAGACCTTTTCCTTCTCTCTCTCTCCATCCACTAAAACCACCGCTTCTTGGTTCAGCGACGAACAGGACGCGAATGAGAACCGGTTCTTCTGTGCGCTCCGCGATCCGACCGAAAACCTCCGATTCTCAAACTCCCACTCGTTCTTGAAACCACCTCCACCGTCGGAGTCCTGGTCCGACGGCGGCGAGCGGTGGCGCTCCGGAGTCTCCGAGTGCCTGCGATACCGGTGGTTGGAGTTCATCTGGTTTTTGTGGCCCCATTTCAATAAGGGAAGAGAGAAGTTGTGCAGAGGCTGAGACTTCACAGGCACAGTCGCCATTAGAGCGAGAGAGAGAGAGAGAGACTACTCCATCAACTTCTAGAGAGAGAAAACGAACGAATCTCACTCTTCTTCTAGAGCGAGAAAACACGAACCCTAACACAATATACAGATGTATGTATGTATGTATATAGAGGAAGAGCAATGGAGAGAGAGAGGAAGCAGAGATGGTGATGGCGAAGACTGCAGGTGTATTTTTTAGAGAGAGAGAGAGACAGAGAAGGGAGAGGGTGGGTTTTATGTTGTATTATGATATGTCTCTCTGCCTCTCGCTCTGTATACATATACGAAAGCGGGAGTAAGTTCGGTCTACGTATACGCTATTTCTCAGCACTTTTTTTACAGTAAAAAAAAGGATAAATTACATTGACACGCTTGATACAGATTTTTTTTCACATTTGAAAATTTATATTTTTCTCTCTAGTTGTAATCTAATTACAAATTATTTCATGAATGTTACGTGTTAAAATTTTTTAAATTATTATTTTTCCTTTTTTCCTACCATATTTCTTCTTATTGTTGGGACTACATTTTGCAACTTTTCATCATTAAATTCTACCTGAATATATTTTTATTAAGTGATAATATACAAATATAATTTTTATATAGGATTTTCAAACACAATAATATAACTTAATGGTGATCTTTCACTTTAAAACAAAACATACATAAACATGATTTATATTTATAACAATATCACTATCATAATATTTTTCTAATTTTTCTCAATAAATTTTTGTATATGAACATATTTTTTTATTTTTATTTCTACCTTTATTTATATTTAGATATATTTAAAAAGTATAAAATTTGTACAAAATTGTTTTTTTTTTAAATCATTGAATATAACAAAATAAGACAATGTATTGATTTTGGTTTTTTATTTTTATTTTTTGTATTTGGTGAATTAAAAAAATCACAAATTATTATACTTCTTGATTATGTCTACATTAGGTATATCTAAAACATAAAAAAAGAAAAAAATATATAAATTGCATAAAATCTTCGTTTGAGATGTGAGTTGACTTTTTTAACTTTTTTGCTATTTTAGACGGGGGCTAAAAAATCTCGTTTCAGATTGACTTTTTGATTTTTTTGATTTTTGTAAGAGAAAAAATAAAATGATTATGATTTTAATGTGATATTTTATTTTATTGACTTTTTAACCTATTTTGTCTTGTGATATTTTATTTTATTGACTTTTTAACCTATTTTGTCTTGTGATATTTTATTTTATTGACTTTTTAACCTATTTTGTCTTGTGATATTTTATTTTTATTTTTTTGTATTTGGTGAATTAAAAAAATCACAAATTATTATACTTCTTGATTATATCTACATTAGGTATATCTAAAACATAAAAGAAGAAAAAAATATATAAATTGCATAAAACCTTCGTTTGAGATGTGAGTTGACTTTTTTAACTTTTTGACTATTTTAGACGGGGGCTAAAAAATCTCGTTTCAGATTGACTTTTTGATTTTTTTGATTTTTGTAAGAGAAAAAATAAAATGATTATGATTTTAATGTGATATTTTATTTTATTGACTTTTTAACCTATTTTGTCTTGTGATATTTTATTTTATTGACTTTTTAACCTATTTTGTCTTGTGATATTTTATTTTATTGACTTTTTAACCTATTTTGTCTTTTTGTATCTATTTTAACTAAAAAAATTTATGCCAAGCATAGCCAAAATATTTTTAAAAAATAGTAAAAATAAAAAAAAAACACGAAAATTAAATAATAAAAAAAACATTTTTTTTTTGTGAGTTAAATCAAATAAGTTGATTGTTATTTTCTTTAAAATGGCATTAACAAAATATCTGTATTATTTTATTATATATATATATATATATAAAGATTAAGGGTAAATATGTCATTTAATCTAATATGGGGTAAGTGTAATGTTTCAAATGTGAGGAAAAGATCAACATTAAATAAAAATCTTATAGGGTGTCAGTGTAATTTACCAAAAAAAAAATGGGGGTTCTCTTCGATTCTTAATCAAATTATATCAGAAAGGTATTATTAGGCTTATAGGGTTTACTTTTGAGTCATATTTTGATGATTTAAACCGTTTAGACTTTAAAATTTGCCGAGTATAAAATTCTTGTAAAAAAAAATTAAATCAATTGAATAATGGTAATTACGTGTTCATATTAATTTTGTATGAACCGCTTATATATAGAGAAATTCTAATATATATATCCTTAAAAGAGTGTACAATATTCACCCTTACTTGTATCATTTTATTGTTTAGTTATGACTAATATTTCTTCTCAACAATGCTACAGACCTATATTTTACGCTTACAAATGCATCCACAATGATGTAGCAAGGGTGGTAAGTCCTCTATTATTGAGTATGTAATCAATCAAAAATTAACATTTATCAAATCAAATCATCGTAAGTTAAATTGTGAGACATTTTTAAGGGTATCAAACATTTTCCCTTTCTTCTTTAATTAAGACATTATTTTAATTTTAACTAATGAAATCTTTAATTATGTGTCATATTGTATTTAGTCATGACATATATTTTAGTTATAAACTTAGATTATTTTCTTATTTAATTATAAGGTGCATACCATATAGTATTTGTCTTATATGAAAATTCTAATATACACCCCTTGAAAAGAATGTATCATATGCATTATTAATTATGCTATTTTCTTTTTTAGTTATAATTAATTTTCTTATTTAGCCATGACACTATTTTAATTATGACTCATGAGTTATTTAATTATGTCTTATGTTATATTTAGTTATGATTTTTTTTTTAATAGTTATGGCTCAAAAACTATAAAATTATATAATTTTCTTTTAATTATGACATTTTTTGAATGATGTGCAACATATTCAAACTTAAAAATTAAATTCCTAGGATCTTTTTAAGTTCAAGCATCAATTACTCTCGTGTGTTATTTTTGTCTCTTATCAATCAATCATTTCACTTATATATTATTGACGAAGTGAATCTAAAAAGTAAGATTGTACCTCCATTTGGAAATATATTATTTTAATTGACTTTTTAGTTATTTTAATCTAATTAAAAAAGTAGTGTTTGTGATGATAATCTTTTTTTAGTTGATTTGATAGTTGTGAGAGAAAAAAAATGAAAAGATTATAATTTGAATGTAACATTTTATCTCATTTATTATTTTAGTTTATTTTATCATTATTAACTATTTTAACCCAAATCATACTTTTCAACAAGGGCAGTATATTATTTTTTCTAAAAGAAATGAGTGAATTACACTTTAATCCTTTATGTTTGACTATTTTCTTTTTACTTTAGCCCTTTAATTTTTTTCCCTACTTTGATATTGCATGTTTTAATTTTTTTTTTCTCCTTCCTAAAAGCTAAGTGTAAAATTAGATAAGAAAATGACACATTAACACTTATATAATATAAAGATATTTTATTATATATAAATGATACTTTTTATATAAATCTAAATTTTAATATAATAATATATATTTGAGAAAATTATTAAAAAAATTAAGATTTAACTTTTGTAAAAAAATAAAATCTGAATTTTTAATTTTTTCAATTTAAACTATTATTTTTTGATTTATTTTCAATTTAAAATATTTGCTTATTTTCATTAAGTTAAAATAAATGAAAAAATAGATATTTTAATTATTAAACTCAAAAAAAATATAGTTTAGACATCTTATGTACATTTACATTGAGTTTAATAATTAAAATTTTTTTTTATCAATTTTACTTGACAAAAATAGACTTTTAGAAAGAAAAAAAAATCAAAAGATTGCGATTCAAATTAATAAAATTTAAAATTTATTTTGTTACAACTTACAATGATCAAATTCTAATTTTTTTAAAATAATTTTATATATATTTTTTTATATTATGATATTTTCTATCTAATTTTAATATTAATTAGCTTTAAAAAATAAATCAAAAAAATTAAAACATAAAAGGACAAAGTGTAATTTATTATAAAAATTTGTAATTTTATTTATTTACATATTTAAGCCTAATTTGAAAACTTAGGCCTTATCTAACCTTCCATTTTAGTTAAAAAGTAAAAAATGGATGTTTTGGGAAGTTATCAAAAAGTTAGGTTGCGTTTGGTAGAGTTTTGTAAATATGATTTGAGAGTATGAATTGTATTTTGAGTTTGTGAGTTATGAAATTATGATTTGAGTGTAAAAAATTTGTTTGATTATGGTTTTTGAATAGAGTACTGAATTGAGTTTTGAATTGTATGTGGAATTGAGTTTTGAAATTTTGATTTGACATGTGAAGTAAGAAAATTTATTTGGTTATGAGTTTTGGCAAGAGTTTTCAAAACTTAATTCAAATTGTTATAACTCATAACAAAACACACTACTTTCACACTATTGAAAATTCTGATCAATACTCATAACCAAACTCTTTTTAAAATTCAATTAAAAAAATTCATTATTAACCGAAAATAACATTAATCAATTTTTTAATTGAAAATACTACAAAGAAAATAATTTTTTTTCAAAATAAATATTAAAAAAATTTAAATCATAAATATTTAAATAATTTAAATAATCTAAAAAATTTAATAAGTAAAAAATTAAAATAAATATTCAAAAAAATTAAATCGTAAAAATTTAAATATTCAAAAAATTTAAATAATTTAAAATGTTAATATTTTAAATTTAAAAACAACTCTACACTCAAATCATAACCAAACACATAAAACAAAATTCAATTAAGAAATTATTTTTAAAACTCATAACCAAACACATAACTCGAAACTCCATACTACTTTCACAACTCTACACTCAAATCGTAACAAAATACATAACAAAAAAATTAAAATATTTAAAAATATTTTTATAAAATAGAGTTTGAATTTATTTTTATAAAATATTTTAAAATTTAAAAAATTAAAATCGTAATATTTTAAAATTAAAATATTTTAAAATATTCAAAAAATTAAAAAAATCGTAACATATTTAAATATTAAAATATTTAAAATCTTAACAAAATTAAAATATTGATTTGAATTGAGTTTTGAAAAGAGTTTTGAATTATGTATTTCGTTATGAGTTTTGAAAAGTAATGATTATGTTTTGAATTGAGTTTTGAGAAATGGGTGTAGAATTATGATTTTAAAGCTCAAAACAAACATCACACTCAAATCAATGGGTAGAATTATAATTTAGGTACAACTATAATTTGAGAGACTTACCAAACAGAGCCTTAATTTTTTAACTTTTTGACTTTTTTGAAAGAACTTGGTA